TGCCTACCCTTAATTAACATAGGAGGAAACGCACATAAACAGGATATTACCCCTTCCTATGCGTCTCCTTCACCGTCAAATCCACTTTTCCTTTCCATCCTTTTCTCTTAAATAAAATTAGGCCTCCGGAACCACACTCAACAGAAGAAACACGGAATTGCTTCCAAAGCGGGCTATACCACTGTCCTCCAAAATATTCTCTACATTTACAGTAAATTCCCTATTCAAATTCATTTCAAATTTCACATTTATAACATGATGTGAAAGTTTAGATGGATGGATGGATGTTTGTTCTAACAAACATCCATTAAGCTCTAATTTGTAGACTAAACGGTTAAACGGATTTCGATGTTTGGTAGATGTAAACGATAGTCTAGAAGAACACATAGACTAATATTTTTTTAGAACCCTACCACTTTTTATACCTTACCGCAATTTTTTTATAAACTTTTACCTTATCAAACATTTATTATAAAAGAACTTGTTTACTAGCTCTGAAATTATTGAATCTGGATTCTGCATACCCCTTTCTTTATTCTAAGACTTTACAACCTATCCTTTGAGTGTAGGAGTATACCTGCATGAGGAGTGGCTCCAGCGAGGTGAGCTTGCCCTCGACGCGCTGGTACGCGATGGAACAGTCCAGCAGCAGCACTGTCGGGTTGGAGATCTGCTGCGGCATGCCCCTGCACCAAACTACTTTACACTATGGTCCTTCGAGCCGGATACAGAAATGTTATCATAGACTAACTTCCATATTCACCGTAAATTTATAAAAAAATATGTTATTGTTTAAATAAATCTTTTAATGCACAAATGACAGAAGAGATTACCATTGAATAATAATTACCGTTACCATGGCAATCTTTGCTGCTGTTAGTTTGTAGTTTTGTCCCTATCTTGTAAGAGGGTTTTTTTCAATTGATTTACCCTCTAAGTTATATTGTGAAAAGCAAAAAACCTTTCGCAAATGTAAATTTTTTTATTAAAAAAAAGGAAAATATGGTATAATTGATAAATTCCTATAACAAATAAATTAGTGTTTAAGCTTTATATATAGCATAGATTTCTAAGAGAGACCAATTTAAAATATTTTTATTTAAAATTTAGTTTGAAAATAATAATGGGAATGTGAATTGGACTGTAAGAACGATAGAACATAAGATAGATCGTTCTAGAAAACTTGGTACTATACGTAAGTGGGATAAGGACAGAGAGATGGAAAACATAAGAGAGAGAGAGAGAGAGAGAGAGAGAGAGA